ATTCTCCTCTGGCCTGGCCTGCATCCTGCTTCAAGTCTACTACCCCAGCATCACTGTCTCTCCTCCCAGCTCATTAAAACACATCGTGAGCATGGAATGGGGATCCCTCAACAGCCTGCCAATGCCTTATCGGCAGAGGCGCACCACAGTCATGTTATTCACTGTCGCCCAGCACAGCACCGAGTCCACAGCAGTTGTTCAGTAAAAACCTTCTGATTGCTTCTCGAATGGCTTTCCAAACAGTCAGAGACATAACGCTTTACTGTACTCTTCAGGCTGATAGAGCCAGCAGCTGGTGGTTGCCTGCGTCCACAAAGTGGAGGTTATATACAGATATGTATACACATAGCCATATGTATGATGACAGCTGATCCTCACTATTTCTTTTTATTTACAAATTCATATTTATGAATTTGCCCCCTCACTAGGATTTATTTGTAACCCCCAAATCAATACTTGCAGTGCTTTCATGATCCTTTACAGACACGCCCAGAGCAATGAAAAACGAGTCGCTTGATGTGCATGTTCCCAGTGGGGAAAGAAAGATTTATTTTGTTGCATCCTTAACACTTAATGAGTTGACTGGGGACCTCAACTAATGCTTTTTAATTAAGAACTATTATTAATTTATTCTATTAATATTAAGGTAATATGTCGTGGGTGTTGGGTTAACTCTGTAACATGAACAGATGCAAAGTTACCTGCTAAACCTGTTCCTCCAAAGCCAGAGCCCAAACCTGGAAGGACGCCTGCCCAGAGGGAGAGAAGAGATCCAAAGAGAAAAATGGGAAAGCCAGTGCTGGCAAGGATGGGAATAACCCTGCAGAAAATGGAGATGCCCAAATAGACCAGGCACAGATAGCTGAAGCTGCTGGAGGTCCATGTGAAAAAAAACCAGGTCTTTTAATTGTGGTAAAGTACACATAACATAAAGTGTAAACCATCTTCACCATTTTTAAGTGTATAGTTTAGTAGTGTTAAGTACATTCACAATGTTGTGCAACAGAACTCCAGAATTCTTTTCATCTTGCAAAACTGACTCTTCATAACCATTAAACAACTCCCTGCTTCCCCTTCCTCCATGGCCCTGGCAACCACCATTCTACTTTCTATCTCCCTGAATTTGAGAACTCTAGTTACCTGGTATAAATGGAATCATATAGTATTTGTCACTTTGTGACTGGTTTATTTCACTTAGCATGTCTCCAAGGCTCATTCATTTTATAGCATGTGTTAGAATTTCCTTCCTTTATAAGGTTGAATCATATCCATTGTATGTATATATCACATTTTGTTTATCCCTTTAGCCATTGATGGACACTTGGGTGGCTTCTACCTCTTGGGTGTTATGAATAATGCTGCTGTGAACATCAGTGTACAAATATCCCTTAGAGACCCTGCTTTCAAGTGTGTGGGTTATATACACAGAAGAGGAATTGTTGGCTTATATGGTAATTCCATTTCCAATTTTTGAGCAACCCCGACATTGTTTTCCATAGGGGCTGTACCATTTTACATTCCCACCAACAGTGCACAAACCGGGGAGCATACAAATACTTTAAGAAGAATTAAGGTTTTTCCTAATTGCACTCTAGATTGTGTCAAAGGGAGAACATTTAGACTTTTACTTCCTCAAATTTTAGATGGATTGCATTTTAGAATGATTTTTCTAATGAACATTATATGAAATCCTTTCATTGATAAAAGGCTAAACGTTTACTTTCTTCTCAAGAGTTGAATGAATTTTTATGTATTAACACAGATGGCATCCCAGCTTTCACTATGCTGAGCAGGAAGGAATAATTCATTTTCATCATCCATGCCCTTTCTGCTTCCCTGTCTCTCCTCTCCTTCATAGCCACATTTCTAACGGCATTGTCCAAGGTCACTGCCCCATTTCTTCCCCTCCCAGGCTCTCCTTAGGTCACTCCAGTCCAGCATTCAACCCCATTATTCCCCTGAAACTGTATTTATCAAGGTCACCCATGACCCCCATGATCCAATAGATGCTACGATGGAGAATTTTATGTGTCAACTTGGCTTGACCAAGAAATGTCCAGACAGCTGATGAACATTATTTCTGGGTGTGTCTGTGAGGGTGTTTCTAGAAATGATTAGCATTTGATTCAGCAGACTGAGTTAAGAGATGCACCCTCACCAATGTGGATGGGCATCACCCAATCTGTTGAGGGCCCAAACGGAACAAAAACGAAAAGAAAGGGCAAATTCCCTCTCTCTCTCTCTTATTGAGCTGGGACATCTACCTTCCTGCCTTTGGACATCAGAGTTCCTTGTTCTAGGGCCTTCGGACTCCAGAACTTACACTAAGAGTCCCCTGGTTCTCAGGCCTTCAGACTCAGACTGAATTACACCACTGACTTTTCTGGTCCTCTAGCTTGTAGATGGCGGACTGTTGGACTTCTGGGCCTCCATCACTGAGTGGGCCAATTCCTATAATAAATCTCCTGTTATGCATATCTGTACATCCTATCGGGTCTCTTTCTCTGAAGAACCCTGACTAAGACAGATGCTTTTCAGTCTCCATTTCAGTTGAGTACCTGTCTACCTAACATTGGGCATGTGTAGGGGAGTAATAGAGTGGGGAGAAGAATTACACAAAACTCCTCTGCTCAAACCTTCCATCTCCACATCATTCACAGTTTAGAAGCTAAAGTCCTCACAGTGGCCTACAAGGCTCTAAATATCTGCCCCCATTAGGAAATAATTCCCCACCAATCTCTTACATTTTTGCACTTCCAGGAGCAGAGGTACTGGATACCTTTATTTCCACTCTCTTTTCAAGGATGTTTATATAAAGAGTAGCCTTGGAAAAGAATCTCCACCTGGGGCAGGGGAGGTTTGTCTGATGTCCAGTGTAATAACATCTCCCTCTGGGTTAAAAGTCAGCTAGGCTTGTTTGCAGAACATTATGAAAGACTTGGGTTCCCTAAGCTCTGGTTTCTCAGCTGTGATGCAAACCCATTACATGGGCAGACTCCACCTGGGCTGCTCTGCATCACCCCCAAAGGACCTGGCAGGGGGCAAATGCAAAACACACAAACACGAAGCTCACGCTACTTGCTATGCTTGAGGTAATAAAATCCTTTGTCTCTGTCCCAGGAGTCTCCTATCTGCCAGCATCCACAGAAGTGTACATGGCTAACTCATTAGCTTGCAAGCGAGGTAAAGTCTTAGAACCTTCTCAATTTTAACCGCCTATCTCACAACTCTCTCGCCTCATCTCCTGCTACTCCTTCCCTTGTCACCCTGCCTGGCTATATTCATCCCTTAGATGTTCCTGGAACCTGCCATGCACACTCCTGCCTCAGGGCTTCTGCACATGTTCCACTGTCAGCCTGGAATATTTCACTCCCAGGTATCTTTCAGGTCCTGTCCAAATGGCACCTCAGTGGGGCCCTCCTTAACTACTCTTTACAACAGCCTCACCGCAAGTAAACAGGTTGACTTTTACCAACCTGGTGGGTGAACATGGTATCTCAATGAGTTTTAAATGTCTTTCATTATTTTCTACATCTATTTCTATTATTAGTTTATTATGATTAACATATATATTTCTTTTCCTGATAACTGTCTGATTCTCTCCTTTGCCTGTTTTTACAACAACAGCCTTTTTCATATTAATTTTTCACTTGTCTATGATGTGATTATACATATCTTTTCTCAACTTGTCATCTGTCATTTGAGTTTATGGTATCACCATTATTGTTGTTTTGCCACATAAAAGTTTTCTATTTTTCTGTGGTTGAATTTATCAATCTTTTCTTTTATGACTTCTCGATTTTCAATTACAGCCAGAAAGGTCTTCTCTATTCCAGGATTATAGGGAATTCATTCATACTTTTTTCTATTTTTCTAGTACTTTTATGGTATCATTTTTAAACATTTATATCTCTGAATCATTTGAAACTTATTTGGTGTAATATGTGACTTATAAATTCAACTTTCAGGTTTTTTTGACAGCCCAATTGTCTCAATCCTTTTATTATTTATTTATTTTAAACACATAATGGATACACTTATTGAAAATATACTCTGGAAAAATTGCTTACATGCATAACAATACCTCTTTCACCCATTTTAGAGGTGGGTACACTGTGGTTTGGGGCATTTGTCAGCTAGGCCAAGGGCACCCAGCTGGTAAGTAAAGTTTGAAGCTCTCCTGAGAATCTGCCTGTGTGCTCCCTCCTTCCTCCCGAGCCCTCCAAGCCATCCTTGTGGTTTGGGAGCCTCCCACTTGCAGCCAAGCTTCCACGAGGCCCAGCAATCCAATGCATTCTGTGCCTCCAGGGTGCACATACTGGGGTTCCAAGTCCTCTGGACATGGTTCCCCTGGTTTAGCCAAAGCTGGTGAGACGCCTCATAACATACCATGACCCCTGTGTCTGAGCAGGATTCAAACTGAATGCAGAAGACCCACAGGATTAAAGAAGGGCGGAAGGTGGAGAGCTTGCCCATCCAGCCCCCTCTGAGTATTGTTGGAGTTGTCACTTTAATTTTATTTCTGCATGTATTTGAGTCTATATCTGCACTTTGTTCCATTGGTTACTTTGCCTTCTTGTCCACTAGCACCAAGCTGTTTTAATTACTGAGGATCTGTTTTAATATTTGATAGTGCTAGATAACCCTCCTTGTTATTCTTTTTCAGAGCCTGTTTTCTGACTATTCTTATTTATTTTTCCATCTGAATTTCAGGAACAAATAGGGTACTTAAAAACACACACATAATAATTAATCCTATTAGTACATTTTTTCCCTATTATACTTTTAAAAGAATTATGTTACTCATAATTTTACTTACAGAAAATTGAGATCTTTATGTTACTGAGTCTTCCCATCCAAAAACATCATCCATCTTTCCATTTGACCCAGTTTTCTTATCTGTAAAATGGAAGTAATAACACCAGTCTCATAGTGTTGTCCTCAGAATTAAATGAGAAAATGCATGTGACGGACAGTACAATAGGAACCAATGTGTTGCTCTGCCACTTCCTAGTCTGTTAACTTGGGCTGGGTTACTAGACTATCCTGAACTTCGGTTGTCTCATTTGTAAACTGGGGATAATAGTACCTGCTTCACAGGGCTGTAATGAGAGTCAAATTAGATGAGACATGCAAAGTACTCAGTGTACTGTCTGGAACATAGCTCGATGAATGTTAACTGTTCTAGAAGACAGCTATCCCAGGGAACTGTGACTTAAAGCAGAAGCTTGCTGGAATCCACCTTAGGTCGAGGACTCTCAGGTCAACCATTCCTTCCGAGAGCCTACCTACCGGCTGGTCGCCACTTCTGATTTTCCCCGAGTGTTTGGGAACACACACGGATTTAAAGCCGCGATCCGGAGCGTCTAGGTGCACCGCGAGACTCCAAGATCCCGCCCCACCCTCCTGGGCCGCGGCAATGCCACGTCTGGCGGTCCCTCGCTCAAGGCGAGGGGAGGCGGGGTCAGCTTGGGCCCGCCCCCAAGCGCGCACGTCGCGTCTGAGGCCCGCCCCTCCGCGGCTCGAGACGATAGTAGGGCGGCACCGAAAGGCAAAGCGCCGTGACGCCACGAAGGGGCGGGGCCAGCATACGTCCGGAAGACCCTGGGGAGGGAGTGTTACGTATATCCGGCGAGTAGCTGGCGGTCCCGGGTGCTGCTGGGTTGTTCGCCGTGAGGGAGGGTCCAAGCCGCCCGCTGCTGCCGGAGGAGCTCCGTGGGCCGTGAGTCCCGGGGTCGCGGCGACGAAGGGAGCGGGGTCGGAGGGGCTAGGGCTGCTGGCGGCGAGGGCCGGGGCAGAGGCCGGCACAGGCGGGGTTGGGAGGGGGAAGTGACACGCAGGCGGTTCTGTGGGGCCGTGGGGCTTGTTCTGGGCGGGGACGGGCCGGCTCGGCCAGGTCTGCTCGGTCTCCTGCCGGCCTCTGGGGTTTCGAGTCCATCTGCATTCCGCTCGGGGGTCTTGCAGCTGCTGGGCGCGATAACAGTGTTCCTGTCTGTTCTGTGCGCTCCGGTTTACTAATTGGCTTCACATCCCCTCTATATGGGGTGAGCCTCACACCTTTCGGTGGGGTGGATTGGAGTCCTTGATGATTATCCTTTTTTTTTTTTACAGACTCGGGGACTAAGGCCCGCCGAGGCACAGTGAATTGGCCAAGGCCCCGCAGATAGCAAGTGTGAGCGTTCGAACCAGGTCTCCTTGCTCCTAGTCAGGGCTCGCCCCACCCCCACTTCAGCTGTGTGTTTTCATTCTGATATCTTGGGTCGAACCTCATATTTTCTCCTTCCACCTCCCCTCCCCTTTCCCTCACTCTTCAGTGCTTGGAAAAATTCTCTGTGTTCTCCTTCGCTCCAGTCTTTTCTCCTTTACCTCGATGTATCTGCTTAGGTTGTGACAGGGGGCTTTACGGAGTTTTGCAATGGGGCTGACCTTTGACATTAACCCTGCAGCTAAGCAGAGTTTCTTAGCTAAAAACTGTACGCTTGCTACCCTAGGCCTGTCTGGAATGATGTCTCAAAGTTGCTCTGAGTATGTGTAAGAAGTCACGAATATGTCTAAGATGTGATGTATAGATTTTGGGGGGGGTGGTTTTGGCCAATCGTCAGCCTAGTGCTCCTCCTTTTATTTATTTGAATCAGCCAGTCCTGAAATTTGCAAGTTTTAGTTTTGGGTATCTTGGCAGTGCTTTTGTTGGTAGAGCCCTTAAATTTTACAGTAGTCTAATTTGCCGTAAGATGCCATAAAGTGGTAAAGTGGATCAAGGATAGAAAAGAAATAAAATGCTAGTTGTTAACATATTCAAAAGTTGTGATGAGTTGTAAGGAAGAAAACTTTAGATTATCATTTGTGTAGTGGATGGTTTAAGGAAGCTTTTTTTTTTTTTAAGTAGTTTGTGATCTGCACTGGAATTTTATGTGATGTTAACAGGAAGAGCTTTGGCTTTTGCATTAAAAGAGGAGAGTTTAAATCCTGGCACTGTTACTTTTGCAGCTGAGCAGTCTTGGTTAAACTAGTTAATCTAGGAGTGTCAGCATCCTCATCTTGTTAAATGAGGCCAGGGATTTCTACCTGTGGGGTTAGTGTGAGGTTAAAATGAGATGTATATGCAGGCACTGGATAAACTGAAAAACTATTCATGAGGAATACAGCCTAAGATCTCAAGGATGAAGGTGATATCAGAGCCATTTCCTTAACTTTGGGTGGCAATACAATGGCACTCTGTGGGTCTAATAAGAGTTTTTATAATTTTTTAACATCACCTGAAGAGTTTCTTCAAGCACTCTCCATAGATTCATTTGGAGGGTAGAACTATAGGACTTTTAAAGCAGGGATGTCAAAGGAAAATAAATTGGAAAATCAAAGTAGTTCAGTTAACCATGAAAAATTCCTTAAAATGGGGTTTTTCCCCTTGTCACTTTTGGGGAGTTTACCTAGTTGGGAATACTTCTAAAATAATGTAGTACTTTACAACGAGTCTATAAAGTACTGACTGCAAACCAGTGTAGTACAAATAAATATATATGTGTTGGATTTTAAAGGCCAAATCAGTAGGAGTGACCTTGATGAGAGGTGCTCTCTAAAGGTGAGCCATGCTTCTTCAAGTGGTAGACTGAGAAAATAGGGAAGGATGACTGGTTTGATGGGGTTACAGAGGAGAGGCACACTGTTCTTTTACTTACCTACAGTGGAAACTTAAGCACAGTAACTTTGTAATTGTATTTAAGTCATTGGATTTCTTAAAGTAGAGACTGAATTTCCCAACAAAACTATTATTTAGCTTGCTAAATTTGGTCTTTCTGGCAAATACACTTTGATGTTACTGAAAATGGCAAAAAAAAAAACCCAAAACCCTTATTATATATATATTAATATATAGTGTTTCCATTTTTCAATCTCTTCTTCATCTAGCATTCTTTGAATGAAGAATATAGGTGGGTTTTTGTGGCTAACTCTTTTACAGTAAACTTTGGTTTACTTTTTGAAAAAACTTCATGAAAGTTTTGTTTGATAGCAGTTGGTCCCATCAAGTATAAAGTCTTGTGTTCATGTGTTCTTGCTGATGGAGAGGAGTGAAAGTGGGAGGTTGTTCTTTTTTTCTGCACCAAATCTGAAATATTGAGGCAAAGGTTCAGTGTAATCAGGAAATGCTGACTCTGAGAAACCAAGGCCCCCCCCATTGGCTCTAGAGCCTACCTTCTTAACATTCAGAGCTCCTCTTACTTATTTCCAAGGTATGTAGACTTTTTAATAGCTTTGGGTCATCTTTTGTCTAGACTTACAGGAAACAGTAGGGAAAGTGATGTTAATAACAGTACTGGTTAAGGTATATACTTGGCTAGGAACCTACGTCTATGCGCCGAATGAGTAGTCTTATTTTAAGAAAATCCGTATTTGTAGAATGAGTTAGGTCTTGATTATTCACATTATAAGACTCTCTTATTTCTTCATGGCTCTTCAATATAGTGATATCATCTCTTTTTCTAAGTTGAGACCCATATCTGTAAGAGGGGTTAAACAAATACTGTTGAAGAAGAGGTAGCATTGGTAAATGGAGCAGTGCAAATTGTGCCAGCCGGTATAGGATTTTGGTGACTTTGCTTTTTAGAACTGTTTACAAGGATAGGTTAATATGCCTTTTATTCTTGCTTTCTACTTAATACATCAGTGTGACATTTTGATCCAGATGATTGATGGGGCTGATTTCCTAGAAGTTTTGCTAACTGGTAGACAGCGGTGGTGTATCTAGGGAATGTGAATGAGCAGCTGCTTGAAGGAGTGAGTCACACAGTAAAAGAGGAAAGTATATCTTTAACTCCTAGTCCTCTGAGTATCATAGATTGAAAACTGTTAGAAAACCAGGAGCTTGTGCAGCTCTGAGGACCCCAGAGACTTCCCTCTAGGGTTCAGAATCCTTTGTTTTCTTATACTTCAAAACATGGGACTGTAAATGTGCATCAGGGCCAGGGAATGAGAGTTAACTTCTTCAGAACTGTACTAGCATTCAGAAAGCTAACGTGTGCTGCTTTCCTATTTTATACAGGTAGTAAGCATTAATAATGTCTTTCATCTTTGAGTGGATCTACAATGGCTTCAGCAGTGTGCTCCAGTTCCTAGGTAAAGCCATTTTCTTGAAATATATCATCGGTTTCAAACTTTGTGCATTTTCTCAAACAGTTTAAATATGAGTAAGCTTTGGTGTGTAGAAAGCAAATTATGTTAATGTCTTCCCCCCTCTTTTAGGACTCTACAAGAAATCTGGAAAACTTGTATTTTTGGGTTTGGACAATGCAGGCAAAACCACTCTTCTACACATGCTCAAAGATGACAGATTGGGCCAACATGTTCCAACACTACATCCAAGTAGGTTTGAAAATACTGGGTGACCTTTTGACATTTGAGGGTCAGTGTCAGGGTTGGAGGGTGAATCCCCAGTTGATGCAGTTCTTTTATTAACTGTAGCCCCCAAAGACAGCTCACTTGAAAAAAATTCCATATAGGACACACTCAGGTTACATACCCATGAATCTAAACCTCTAGAACTTTGTCACTATCTGTTCTCTCTAGTCCTGTAATGGGACTCATCTCCCAAATCTACTTCTAAGGACCAGCAAACACCTTGGAGAAAAAGAGACTTGGCTTTTTAGAATAATTTAAGAATGTTTTCAGCCTTGTATCCTTTTCTATGCAAAGTGAAAGTTTCATTAGGTTTTGCATTTGTTTTGTGTTTTTTTGGGAGGAGGGCAATTTGTTTGTTTGTTTTTAGAGGAGGTTCTGGGGATTGAACCCAGGACCCTGTGCATGCTAAACATGGCCTCTACCACTTGAGCTATATCTTCCCCCAGGTTTTGCATTTGTAGTGGATTACAGCACTGATAGCTGGGCCTTGTTGGATGGAGAGGTTTATTTCTCTCCTTTATTTTTCAGCATCAGAAGAGTTGACAATTGCTGGAATGACTTTTACAACTTTTGATCTTGGTGGGCATGAGCAAGGTAAGAGATGTTTCTGTGAAAGAGTAGTATTAATTTATGGTTCATTTTGTTCCCTTTCTTTTTTAAAGCAATGTGTCATGTTTACATTGTAAGCTGCTTGCATTTAGGATTGGGATCTTATTTAATGGAGTTGTTTTATTAACTTATTTTTAACTAATTCCAAACTTGCCAAAATTGCATAAATAATACAGAGAACTCTCCTCCTTTATAACTTTTGCTCAAATTGGTTAGTCTCCCTTTCTATATAATACATGCTAATACAAATTTTTCTTGAACTATTTGTGAGTTCTTCATGCTTTGTTACTCCTTAATACTTTAATGCATATTTCCTAAAAACAAGACTATTCCCTTATATAATCTAAGTAGGTGTCAAGCTCAGGAAGTTTTATTTATCTACTGTATAGTATATATTCTCTTTTTGGTCATTTGTTCTAATAATCTCCTTAATATCATTTTTCCTCTTAAACAAGAACCAGTACAGTATCACATAGTGAATTTAATTATGTCTCTTTTGTATCCTTTATTCAGTGGAATGTAAATATGTAGGAAATTATTTGTAAGTAATTGTAAATTTGTCAAAAGCTACAAAATAGTACAGTGACTATTTGTGACTGCTGTGATCTGAAATGATATTTTGTGTACTCTCCCTATCTGGGGTGGTTAGTGGCACATTTTCTTCTGCCTTCTTGTTCCCAGTGCTTTTTGCCTTACTCAAAAAGTAAGGCTGCATCCATTAGGTTCCCAGATTCCTATCCGGTGTTTTAGACATATGCAGAATGGGACATCTTCATCTGATGAACACTCTTTTTACATTTTGCAAGACTCTAGGCTTAGAAGTAGAACATTTAAGATGTGGGGGTAAATATTCTGGGAAGGTAGAAAAGAGAAACTGTTGAGATTCTGTCAGGTTTACTCATTTGTTATTGAGTTGAGAAGTCTCCTTTTGGAGCATTATGTTATTAGGTTGAATCTAATACAGGTTTTTTTTAAGTTTAGTTAAAAAAATAGAATATTGGTAATTTTAATCATTGAAATAATTTTAGCCAAACGGTTGATTAGAGATCCAAATAATTTTATAGTCAATGATTTCATTAATGTATAGTTAATTTATTTTATTCATTTAATTCTTACATCCTACAAAATCATGTATTAGTGTCATCACTCATGCAAAATACCTATACAGAAAGAAGATTGAACAAAAATTTACAGAAATATTAGCAGCAGCTGTGTTTTGATGGAGAGATATAGATTAACTTGTTTCCTTTTTTTCTATAGTGAGCTTGTATTATTTTCATTTGGGGAGGAATGGGTGTATGGATGGTATCTTTTCTGCTTCTTTCAAAAGGATTTGTAACTGCTTACAAATTTAACTTCAGAGGTAATGCAGTTACAGAGTAAACTGAGACCATCTGGAGAATGCAGAAGGAGTAGGAGTTTTTAGACACCTGAACTGGGAATTTGTGTTATTTGGTGTGATAAATTCAGCTTTCAGGTTTTGATAGAGTGAGAAGGGAAATCTCTTGATGGTCCCCAACTTAATGATGGTTCCACTGAAGAGTTTTTGACTTTACAGTGATGCAAAAGTGATGCACATTCAGTAGAAACCATATTTCAGATTTTGAATTTTGATCTTTTCCTCAACTAGTGATGTATGGTACCACGGTCTGTAGTGATGCTGGGCAGCCGCAGCCCCGGGTCAGTACGTGATCACAAGGGTAAACAACCAGTGCATTTACAACCATTCCATACCAGACAGCCGTTCTGCTTTTCACTTTCAGTACAACATTCAATAAATTACATGACAGATTCAACGCATCATAAAATAGGCTTTGTGTTTGATGATATTGCCCAACTGCAGGCTGATGTATTCTGAGCACATTTAAGGTAGGCTAGGCTAAGCTATGTTTGGTAGGTTAGGTGTGTTAAATGCATTTTCAACTTAATGATATTTTCAACTGGTGTATTTATAGGGACATAACTGCATTGTAAGTTGAGAAAGATCTGTACATAGTTTGTTTTGTTTGACTGAGAAAGATTTACTTAACAGAAACACTTTTTCATAACTTTGCTGATCTTTTACAGAAGTTACTAAAAATGCTGTACATTTAGCGTTGGTGGTATAGTGGTGAACATAGCTGCCTTCCTAAAATGCTGTACATTTGGACGTTTCCTTTTTTTTTAATAACTTAAAAACTTAACTTATAAAAGGAGTCCAGGCACAATGTAACAAATTCAGTATACAATCAGTATACAAATGTGAAAGGAAAAAGTGCAAGTTCCCCCAGCCTCTCTTTCTCAGTCCCACTCTTCAGAGGGAGTCATTGTTAAATGTTTGATGTAGAGATGCTTCCTTAATCATCCCATTGAAAGGACTAGAAATGAGTGACTTAGAAATTATAATACAATTAAAGCTTTACTTCCCAAACTATTATCATGTCATTAACAAAAAATAAAATTTATAGGCACATGGGGTTAAATGAGGAGACTGAAGTAATTGGCCTGGAAACTTCAAACACCTGTCAAGCTCAGTCTCCCTGAGGGCTGAGTGGAATGGACAGTCAGTACACTTGCACATTGGTTAGTTGGGAACTAACTTGGGACTAAAGTTTTATGGACAAGTAATCTGCATCCTGATAAATGAGTGAAATTGGGTATAAGACAGCAGGGAGTGGTAGAAACTTTGGCAAACTGGAGAACTCAGACCTCATCTAAAGGGGCAGCCACCGCTCAGTTCCAGCTGGTGATTATCTGTCCCGCATGTGGATAGGTAGGCATGGAATTGCCGGATGTTGCAGTTTTTCAGAAAATCAGGCAGAAAACCCTGATTTTTGAATTAAAAAAATCAGATTCAGTTCATGGACCATCAGTTTATACCTTCTATTCTGACTGGCTAAGACTGGGAGGATCTATATGGAGTCTAATGCTATTGAAACTGGCCAGGATTTGCCTACTTAATAGACCATTGGTTGTTCATTTTCAGAATATATTTTTTAAATTGATGCAACTGCAAACTTTGTCTTTTAGCTCGTCGAGTTTGGAAAAATTATCTACCAGCAATTAATGGGATTGTCTTTCTAGTGGACTGTGCAGATCATCCTCGACTCATGGAATCCAAAGTTGAGCTTAATGTATGTTTATATTTTTTTCTCTTCTTGGCTTGTTTCTTTTAAGGCATACAGCTCAGTAGTGCCAATACTTAAATCATTCCAGTTAACATTTGGTGAAAGTCCTGGTTACAAGAAGAAAGTGTTTAAAATCTGAGATGGTACTTTTCAATGTCCTGAGGAAACTCTGCTTGAACACGAATAAATTTATTTTGTTTATCACAGGGAGACTCTATGTCCAGTTTGCTCAGGACACTCCTCAGTTAATGCCTGTTTCCCCAGCATAATTAACGTCTTTCCCTTTCACATCTCATGTATGGTCATTCTTTATGAAGTGTTGGCATAGTGAAACCTAGAGATATTAGAGTTCTTTACACTTCTGAGTCTTCATTCTCAGGTTGTGCCTGCCCACACTTGCACTGAGTGACTTGCCACACCTTAACAGTCTGGTCTCAGTCTTTAGTTTCCGTCACGTGTGGTGTTTGGTAGCTAGGACTCACTCCAGGTTTTCTCCTTTCTCAACATTGCATTTTTTTAGCTTGATAATTTCTATAATGTTGCCTGTGTTATCCTGTGCCTCTTCTTTCTCTTTTATAACTGTCTCTCTGCATTCCTGTCCCTGGCAGTTTGAGCCTGTCTCAATTTGTAAGTAAGTTTCTTGAATCTATAGCTCTACTCTCATGTAGAATCACCTCCAGGGCAGTCTTTCCCTTACGTGACCCCTTGACACTGGTCATTCTCTTTCTTTAAACTCCCCTTTTCATTCTTGGTTTTGGTGCACTCTCTGGCAGATACAGCTCAGACTCTTTCATGAGCATCAGTTCCCCTGCTTAGCCCTTAAACCCTGGTGCTCCCCAGGGTCTGTACTTCTTCCCAGGTTGGTCCAGGCTTCTCCTATTCTTCATTTGCAGCCCACATGCCAGTGACTCCCAAATGGATTTCTCTTGTTTAAACCTCTCTTGAGCTCCAGCCTCATACATAGTGCTACTTATTAGACAACTCTCCCTACCAATTCTGTTCTCCCAGAATGGAACTATTCATCTTCCCCATTATCCACCTGGACATGCAGTGAATTACTGTAGACTCCACTAGCACCCTGCCATATACTATAATGCTAGAAGAAACTTTCTCAGACTTGTCTTTGCCCTACTTAATATCTTTTAATAGATCTTTTACCACTTGTAAGGTAAAATCCAGTCTTTTGCATAGCACATAAGATCTTTCACAGTCTTCTATTTCTCCAACTTCTTTTCTCTCTGCTGCCTACCTTGAACTACATTCCAAACACAGAGAATAACTTGTCCTCCCTTAAGTATGCAGAAGTGACTGTATCTACCTGGTTTTCTCACCTAACCCTTACCCCCTTTTGCTGGTAAATTTTGAGATGTCCTTTAAGAGATCTGAGTTCAGGTATGACCACTTCTGGGAAGCCTTCCCTGATCTCTGACTTTTAGACTCTCCACTTTATCAATGTCTGCTGTCTTTACTGATTTTCTTACAGATCTTTCCCACTGGACTGTGAACTTAGGTGGCAGGGACCATGTCTTATTTCTTGGTGAAACCCCTGTAGTTAGCAAAGCATCAGATACATAGTAGGCACTGTGTTAGTATTTAATGAATGAATGACATCCTTACTCTGATTTTGTCTAACATTTCCTACAACTTAAGGTGCTCAGAGTAGGTTCCCCTTTATCCTTTCAACTCTACTCTCCTTTTCTAGCTTTTCCCATCAGTGAGAACTAGATTCCCAGGCTTGACATCTCTACTGGCTTTCACCCCTGTCTTATATCTGTCTTATCATTTAGACATCAGTCTCTTCACTTCTTTCTCTGAAATTCCTGCTGCACTATCCACATGCTGCTATCTTAGGCTGGATCATCATCTCTTACTTGAGCACCACAGATGGATACTATTTGTGAATTCATTGTACTAAAAGTAGAGATTTTGTCCAATAATTTCTGGATTTGGGGTCTTTAGGCTCTATTGCGGCTAATTTCTGAGACTGGCACCATAATGTTTGTCATCTCTTCCCAGCGCGTTTATTCTGTCACTACCTGTCAGTGCACATGCTGTAGTGCATCCAGGCGGCACTCCATGCGGCTTCCTGAATTCTTTTCCTACAGCAACGCCATTGCTTGTATTCTTCCTTCTCCTTTCTCCCATCCAAATCCAGCCCCTCCTTCAGAGTCCAGTTTAGTTTCCATGTCTTTGCTAAGATTTTCTTCAAGCCCACATTTTCCTGTATGTATTTTAATATTTATATTCTCTTTCTGTTCCTTGTGACATTTAATCATCCACTTGCCTTGCTTTGTTGACAGATGAACATAGAGCGGGGATTTCTGGAGCTGGGGATGTGCTGTACCCTTCCTTTTGTATTCCTTAGTGTCTGAGAGAGCGCTTTGCACACATGGGGCATCTAGTGAATACTTGGGGATTCCTGCAGTCCTCTCTGAGGCTCTGTAGCCAGAGCTTCGTTCTTCTAGGACAGTGCTCAATAGATAGCTGAGGATGGCCTGTGACTGAGTGATTTAGGTCAGAGTTAAGGTTGGGCAGTTCTGCTGCCTTGTAAAGAGACACAGCTTTAAGTTGTAATTGTCTTGAGGCTGTTAGGGGATTTTTACTAATGTGAAGGTAATTTTAAGGGCTTTTCACCTAATGTTAAAGGTGTTATATAATGTCAAGATTAACTTTCAGTTAATCACTCAAGTATAAATAGCAGATTTTTCACTTACAGACAACTGAAGTTCAAAGTTGTTTTCCTTATCTGGTAGGCTTCTATAGATGCTTCACTTAACTCTTCTTTATCTTGTCTTTAGGCTTTAATGACTGATGAAACAATATCCAATGTGCCAATCCTTATCTTGGGTAACAAAATTGACAGAACAGATGCAATCAGCGAAGAAAAACTCCGTGAGATATTTGGGCTTTATGGACAGACCACAGGAAAGGTAAGAGAAGATCTTCAGGGGTTGTATTATAAAGGAACTTCGCAGCTTTTGAAATATTCATGTGTTGCTACCTAGATTTTACTTGTCTTTCAGAAGTTTAACTGGGCTTAGGATTCGTTTTACTGGAGGTGATTTCTGGGCTCTCTGAAGGCAGGAGTGTCTTTTTTAACTGCTTTCTAATGAGAGTTTCCTCAGGTATACGAGGATGAAGGAAATGGTAGAAAAGGCAAACTTAATCATTTTGAGAATTTTCTATCTTTCAAGTCCAGTTCTCAGAAATCGCTTTTGAAAGAGGCTTTCTTAGTTAGAAATTTTTCTTGACTGGAAATCTCAGTTATGAAGAGTGATCATTTATACCACTTGCCAAGCACTGAAATCAGTCCTGGATTATCCTCAGTGCTCCTTGCTAGAGAAGTAGGATTGCTACCCCTGTTTTGAAGATGAGAATACTCTGAGAGAAGTTTGTTCAGGTCTACACAGCAAGTAAGTCAGTGATAAAACCAGGAATAGAACCCAAGTTTTCCAGCTCAGTAGGTTATGCTGTCTCCAGTAGGAAGGAGAATGCTGTTGCAGAAAAGTATGCTTGTGAGAGAGAAAATCTAGATCAGCTATAATTAACAGCAATCCTGGTCTTTTCAGCTTGGAGTTTGGGCATATTTAATTTTTAAAAAATTTCTGGGATCTATAACTTTCTGACTTTTCCTTAGTCTTGTCTCTTCTCAGTTATCTAGTTCTTTCTGAAAATGCTTCCTCTAATTAATTTAGTTTTCCCCCTTACACACACATGAAGTTTTAATTTTCTTGATATAACCTGTTGTTAGTGTATATTTCTGAATGCTTGGGTTAATGAGAATATCCTTATTCATAAAAAAAAAGTCTTGAATTTCTTTTGTCCATCAAAGAGCATGCTGGTTCTCTGGGCCCCAGTGGCCTCTTTCTTGGTTTGCTGCCATAGCTTTCCAGATGAATGTTGGTGTGTTCAAAGAAAGGCTCTTCAGGGGAGGTGCCAAGATGGCAGAGTAGAGAGCATCACAGCTCGCCCTCTCCACCTGTGATGGAAAAGAATATGAAAAGGAATGTATGTGTGTTCATGTATGACTGAAACATGATGCTGCACACCAGAGATTGACATAACATTGTCAACTGACTCTAATTCAGTAAAAATATGTACAAAACATATATACAAATAATAAAAACAAAAGATAAAAATTTTTTTTAAAAAAAGGCTCTTCCAACGAGAGAGAGAATCTGAGAATAGAACTGCTTATCTATCCTGAAAGCCCAAACGCTAGGGAAGTCATCTGTGTGGCCTTGACCACATTCTGTAATTGCTACCTGCCAAATTTACTTTTGAGAAATGGAGAATGAGATTTTTGTCGTCATCCTTTCAAGCTTTTCCACCATGGAGACGCTAACGGGCCTTTCTTGGTTTTGCCTCCCCTAGGGGAATGTGACCCTGAAGGAGCTGAATGCCCGCCCCATGGAAGTGTTCATGTGCAGTGTGCTCAAGAGGCAAGGCTATGGCGAGGGCTTCCGCTGGCTCTCTCAGTACATTGACTGATGTTTGGACAGTGAAAATAAAAGAGTTTTACTTCTCTGGACTGATCCTATTCACAGCTTCCTCATGAACTTTTCTAATAGAACAAGGAAAGCTCTCCAACCATGTCTGGCGCTGAGAAGCCGAGAGTCTCTGTCAGCTCTCTCATCGCCCAGTGGTGACATGTGCTCTTCTCCACACTGTTGGGAGGTAACGTTGCCCCACGTGCTGGTGCAGGTCAGCATCCCAGGACTTGGAAGGTGGCAGGATTTGCCGAGTAAAGCTGTGTGCCATCGTGGGGCACCTGGAAAGAAAAACACGTCTCACCACTGTGGTTGATTTCAAAAGAAAGTGATTCTATTTTTTAAAGAAAGTGTTGTTAATGTAATTGGTATCCCTACTAATAACTTTTTGAGTTCACAATTTACTTGGTCCAGAGTTTTCTATTCCTTTTTTTTTTAATCTAGTGAATGGCATTTAGATACTTCATAAAATTATGCACAGATACACATTGGAGGCCAGAGCTCAGTCAAGTGAACTTACTTGTGTTGAATCAGCAGGCTGGTGAGGGAAGCCCCCCTGTCTCTGACTGCCTTGTGTGAGGTGGCACCACCTTGTGCACAGGGAGCTAGGAGAGGGCAGAACCCTGGCCTCGCAGTTGAGGCTGGTTTTCACTGTGGCAGGCTAGGGTCAGACTTCATTGTGGCAGGCTAGGGTCAGACTTCATTGTGGCATGTATAGCAGATTGTTCACTGCAAAGGATTTAATTATAGAGTGGGTTATGGTTATTTTTACTTAAAAAGTTACAAATTTCAGCCAGTCTTTGCTTTTATGCAGTTGTAAAATTTCGTTTTTCTCTGTAGCACCATTTTCATTTTCAGTTGTAAAAGTGACTTTCGCCTCATAAAAGGTTTGAGAACATCTCCCACATTGTCACACACTGCAGGTGTGTCTGTCATTTTTGCAGATTCTAGAGGAAATTTTTCTGAATAGGAGAGTCACACAGGAGAAAGTTAACAGCTTAATTAAGGGCTCTTAATTCTCTGAGTTGAGAATTTAAAAATCTGGTATTATAGCATTTCTGAATATATGGAAGATTTACTCAGTGATCTTTAAAATTGCCACTTGCAGAATTTGGTCTCTTACTGGACTCTTCAAGAACTTTGTCTTTTTATTGGTTATCAGTTTATTTTTGGTGTGTAAAGGTTAACATCTGTAGCTTTTCCAGATTTTTTTGTTTTTTTAGCAGGGGGTAGAGGAGTATGAAATTGCCTTTCTCCAGTCCAGAAATAATCTGGGGAAACTCTAATCCAAGAACTTTGTGTAGAGCTGTTCCCTTTAAGCCAGCATCGCTTGTCAGTAAGCACCCATTATAAAAGCCTCAGCATCCCAAGTACAGTGACGAAGGTTATTTTTATAGCATTCCATTTTCCTAATGCCATGTGTGAAACTGGATTTTCATGATCTTAACAATATTCTACCCTTGTAGTAATAGATGAGGAGATAGGAGATGGTCTTAAGCTGGGAGGATATCTTCAAAATTCATTTTTCCTTTAATGAAAGATGAGAGTTATTTTCCTCAAAACTGAAAGTTGTGATGACGATGCTTATATGCAGAGGATTGAACTAAATTCAGTGGATTCTTCTAGTGTGAGCGCAGGGAAAGTGTGGATAACATATTCTTGGGATGAGAGTATTGTTCTTTAGTTGGATTTCCCATTGTTAGTCTTCAGTACTGACCTGTTGGGAAAGCATACTTTTTCACTGCTAGGTATCAGATGCAGAGGCTCAATGAAGTGTAAAGCTGGAAAGAGCATGCCTTTCATTTATTAGCAAGCATAGGTGGTTTGGAAAGGGGTTAAAGCCTTAAGTTAACAAATCTAGCTAATGGTGAATGAACTAGGTAGTTAACCTGCATACTTTTGATTTCCTTTGGCTAAAAGGTAACCCATACTTCTCTATCCAGAGACATGAGGGGTATGATTGCTTTAGTGTTAGTTTTCTTTTTTTTTTTGTTTTGGTCCTTTTTTTTTTTTTAGTCCCCAATCACTTTGTATCAAGCTAGGAAACTATGGATTCTGCACCAGGCAGCTCTTTGTGAAAGTGGTTTATTTTGGCCACTGGAGAAAGAGTCGAGATTGAAAAAATCAAGTGGCATCTGTCTGTTTCTTGCCCCACAGAAAACACAGTTCCTATATTAAGATAGAGGAAAGAAACAGCTATGACGAGCTTGGCTCAGTTAGGATCAGAGCTTTGTACAGGAACTCCCATGAATTGAAACTTTCCATTCTGTTTTATCAGAGTGCATATATGTCCTATTTCAGGAAAAGTTAAATAGTCATTTACAAAAAAAAGTCAGTCTGTATCCTAAGCGTTTTAATAAAAAGTTAAAATAAACTTAACTATCTTGCTCTTTTTTTTTTTCTTTTTTACATTGATTTGTTCTGAGTTTGAACACACTATGACATTTGTTATTGGGCGCAGGGAAGCAAAAGTTCTTCCCTACCTGTGAAAAGAAATATTTCCAATGGACGTGAGAGAAATTTTGCTATGGGGCGGAGTGGGGGAAAGCTAGGCCAGTTCACACATTGCCCTAAAAGTAGTAAATTTACTACCGTTTGAAAGCTTTGGGACGTGCGGTGGTCCCAGGATTGGTAGTCACTTCTGCAACAGGATGGACATGGCTGACTTGAACAAAATCTCATATTAACAGCTAGCAAGGTATGGAGATTCCTTAAAAAACTAGTTACCATATACTCCAGCAATCCCAATCCTGGGCATATATTTGGAGAAAACTCTAAATTCAAAAAGATACATGCACCCTAGTGTTTATAGCAGCACTGTTTACAATAGCCAAGACATGGAAGCAAAGTAAATGTCCACTGACAGATAATTGAATAAATAAATTGTGTATATATATACAATGGAATAGTACTCAGCCATAAAAAAGAATGAAATAATGCCATTTGCAGCAACATGGATGATCTAGAGATTATCACACTAAGTGAAGTAGATCAGACAGGGAAAGACAAATACATGATATCACTTACATGTGGACTCTAAAAAAATGACACAAATGAACTTATTTATAAAACAGACTCAGAAATAGAAAATAAATTTATAGTTACCTAAGGGGAAAGAAGAGGGGATAAATTAGGAGTCTGGGATTAGCAGATACAAATTACTACATACAAAATAGATAAGGTCCTACTGTATATAGCACAGGGAACTATATTCAATAGCTTGTAATAACCTACAGTGAAAAAGGCTATATGTGTATAACTGAATCACTATGCTGTACAACAGAAAATAACATAATACTGTAAATCAACTACACTTCAGTTTTTTTTTAAAAGGAAAAAAATACTCAGCAAAGATTGCTTCCAGTTTCGCTGTGGTTTCACTCATCACTTGATATAAAATTAGAGCAATTGAGTTAAATGCTACATTTGGCAAAATAGGGGAAGGAATGAAACCTGTGCTCGTGCATTTATTAGGCTTGTAGGAAGCCTTGCTTAAAAAAAACCCCAAATGAGTTTCTAAAACCAGAATATTGGGACAAAATAGGATGGGAAGCAAAACAGGTTCTTTTTGATTGAGTATTAAAATTATTGGAGGCATCTTGTGATTGAAACTAATGTCCCCATTACAGTGAAATGATGCCATGGGCTTTTCATTTATATAGGTTTGTGTCATTGAGTGGAACATGAAAATTAACGGCCAATTCAACGTGGCCAGCACTCAGGGGCATCTCACCTTGGCTATTGGCTGTGACTTGGGACTCTACTGTGATGTGCCATAAACACAGAAAAATATGACACATAACAGTTCATGCTGGAGGCTTAAACATCATTAAGGGAGAATCACGGGACTCTAGAGAATAAGAAACAATTACTGTGATTGAGCCATCTTCTGTGTCGTAGAACCAAAAGAAGACAGTACGTGCTATGGGAAGTCTGCTAATTTCAGTCCTGTCTCATACCATAATGGATCATTTCCCTTTCTCAAACAGGTTTGTGTCACTGGAAGCATTGTGAGCATTACCCTGTGTTGTGCTGGGCATACACCAAGTAGCATTAGTTTACTAAAAAAAATTGAGGCAGAATGTTTATGTAATTTAAGTAGTAATTGAATTTTTTTCATTAATGCTGGGGTAAATACATACTAAAATAATCTTAGTGGAATTAATGTGTACTTAAGTGATATTGTGATAAATAGACCTTTGTAAAATGTCTAGCTTGTAGTGACTGTTTCAGGGATATCCTGCAGCCCCCCAAAACATACTTGTTCATGTTCCTCTGTCCTCAGGGAGACTCCTTGGAAAGGTATGGATGTTTTATGTTAGCTTAGATCAGGGATGGCAGACTACAGCTTGTGGTCCAGATCTGGTCTGCTGCCTGTTTTTGTATGGCCTGTGAGAAAAAAAAAAAAAGCAATTTTGTGCCATATGACAATTACATGAAAATTTTCAGGATCCATAAATAAAGTTTTATTTATTCCTTTAGTTTTTGCATGCTACAACAGCAGGGCTGTTTATCTGAGACAGAATATATGCCTCACAAAACCTGGCCCTTTACAGAAAAAGTGACCCCTGACCTAAGATAGATCCTGGGTGGTGGTTATACATGTCATTATGTGAAATGTGCATACTTCAAACTATAGAGTTGCGTAGTTAATAACTTTTACTTCAGCTAATGTTCACCGTAGTTTTAAAGGGCAATTTTATTTGAGCAAATACAGTTTCCATGGGATATGCAGTGTGGGGCTTTGGCATCATAAGACCCTAGGTGTAATCTTGTGGGCTACATGCCCCCTAGTGAATTGCTGTAGGGTTTACTTACAAAATTTTAAAATTCTAAATCAGGCCAAGGATTTCTTGCCTGTATTATCCTAGGGATCAGAGGCTGGATGTCCCCTATACCTGGGCAGATAACTGACAGATCCTGTCATTGCCAGGACAATATAGCCATGTTAGCGCTCATTTCTGTTCCCTTTCCTGCAGCTGAGCGAACAGAGACGAGTCTAGGTTCCGAGGGACCAGCACCCCCCCTATCTACGAGTAAAGCCACACACCACCTGTTACTCTCCCGGGGCTTGTCAACCAGTCCCGTTTCGCCCTCTACGTTGCACAGGTGGCCTGAACCATCTGGGGCGGGGAAAGGCGGAGTCAGCCTCAGCAGCCAATCAGAACTCGGCCTCAAGCCCAGCCAATCGGGCCGGGCCAGTTGGGGTTTAGCCAATCCGGCCGGATGAGGAAGACCTGAGACAGTGTTTGAGCCTCTCGCTTCCAGCTTTGGGTGGCGCTGCGTGGGGTCCCCGGGTCCCGGCCGCGGTCCTTGCTGTCTCGCTCGTTCTCCGGGAAGCCCCGGGTGCGCCGTCCCAGAGGCCATGGGGCGGCAGTGGGGGCCCGCCATGAGGGCAGCCGAGCAGGCGGGCTGTGTGGTGAGCGCCTCCCGGGCCGGGCGGCCCAAGGCTGGCTCGTGGAGCTGCAGCGGGGTGATCCTGAGCCGCCGCCCGGGCCTGGTGCTGTGCCACGGGGGCATCTTCACTCCCTTCCTGCGAGCCGGCAGCGGGGCACTGACTGCTTCCGGCGCCTCCTTCCTGTCCGGCGACAGTTGCGGTGACGACCTGCGTCTGAACGTGCAGTG